CCAGCCGATAAGAGTCACCGCCGCTTAGGGGAGGAAAAAAATAAAAAATGTAGAAAACGGGATACAGCGCGAGAAGCGCTCGCGGGAAAAATGTCGTTTTTATATTCGCGCGATTTTACATTCGCGTTATTGATGTTCGATGCTGGCTCCGAGCTTCTAATGAGACCGTCCTTCGTGTGATTTATATTCGCGCTGGCTGATCTTTCCGCCGTCTTTAAATCACGTTATCATTCTGTCCTGAATTCCCCGACCTCGTTGGGAAAATCAATGTATCGTTCGCAATTTCTTTTTTTTACATTTGCCGCGTATTTCTCCGAATATTTCCCGGGGGACTGCGAGATTTCGTAAATTATGTGATACTACCCATTTTAATCTCACACGGTAGATTATAATTGGTGGAATTCAATTCAATCCGAGCATTGAACGCTCGATAACAGGTAGCCGCCATGCTGCGTTGCAACTTTTTTAATAAGGGAATCGAGTTAGGTTGGGTTTCTCTTCCTTAGCTTCTTTATCGATTTTTTATTATCAGCTCCTATCTGGTGGAAAGCATGTAGCCTGGCGGGTCAGGGGAGGTGAGATGGAAACTCGCCGCCAGTTGCTCGGAGACAGCCGGGAAAATGCAAATTTAGGTGGATCATGTTTTATTCATGACGCCAGGTGAGAAGGGAGAGCGAGGACGAGACCCCGTTCCGATGATCCGAAGTTATTGTGAACGACAATAGCGCGCAGCGTCCTTCGTGAGTCGCGGAAAATTCTCGACGGGGAATAATGGATTTCGAGCACGCCCAAAAAAATACTTCTCGAAGGGGAAGAAGTGAGGTGCGGTTGAATCGACGAAACCATTGAGATTAATGGACGCATTTTATGAAACGCCTTATTTTTCCCCTCGGAATAATTCCGAAGTGGCTGCATGATTATCTTGATATTTTCGCCCCTCTTTTCCAATGAAATCGACAAAAACCATCTTCTGAGTATCCGAATAAACGTCAATTGCGCGCAATCAATAACGCAGAGTCAACCGGCAGAAATTAAGGAGCGATAATTATAACTTGATCACGATGTAGTGGCGGGGCGTCACTCGTGCAGGCATATTTAGCGGCAGGGAGTTCCTCGTCGATATAAGGCGCTTCACCTGTGTGGACGCTGGGGATGGCGTTACTTGATGGAGCAGGGGAAGCAGTTATCTCGCACCGCCGCCTGGAATTATTGAATAGTTACCGCGTTATGAGATCATTAGCGTTCAACGAACTGGAGAAAATAGCGTGGAGGTGAGCCCCGCGAAAAATACCACTCCGGCCGCACGGAATTACACGGTTACACCCTCGGGGATCTTATCGCCCGATCTATCTCGTATCGCGGCGGAATGTTGCGGAGAAACCCTCGATGTGGAATTCAACAGGGAAATCTGCAAGACTGCACGCCGTATCGCTAGAATGACTTTCAAGCAGCGATGATGAAATTTGAAAACTTTGCCGTGACATCACTCACGAGCTGCTCGCGAGCAAAGTTTCGCGCGATCTCTTCGCCAGCGTACAATTCCCCCGGACTTAATATCTGCAGACTCATGGAGCCGTTTCCCGCGTAAATATGTACTCGACGCGTGCACGTGAAATATATATCCACGGCGTTCCTCCTCCGCAATGATAAGAGAGCTTTTAAAGCGGCTCACGGAGCTCCCGCGCGAAGCTCGTGAATACTCCTCGCGTCACGTAAACTGCAACGAACTTACATGCAGCCGTATCTCACGGAATATAAGTGCTGATAAATTTGGTGGGCAGCTGTAAAGCTGGGAATTCAAGTTCCACATTTAAAATCGATCTCTCGAGCGACGGAAATAAATCGACGATTGTAGGAACCTAATTTTACACTCAGCCATTCGCACGGACTGGCCTTCT